CAAAGTATAAGAATAGGAATGGGACAATTATAAGAATAAATATATTTACAAATATAAGAATGTATGCACATTACTGAATATGCATATGAATATGTTCAGGGAAAGTTGTTTGTGGAATTCACATTTCTCTACATGACTTTCAGATTCCCACAGTGATACATGTAATATAAGTTTCTATTGGCTGAAACTGTAAGGGCGAAAAACCAAGAGATCAAATAAATCCCTCAGCGACTCTCTGTCTTTCTGTTTCTATGTGGTGGAGTTTGTAACAGTTTTTAAATTTGTTTTCTTGTCTTGTTTTATTTTTCCAGGTAATAAAGCTGTCATTTGAAGAGTTTGATCTCGAGAGAGGATATGACACACTGACTGTGGGAGATGGGGGGAAGATAGGAGATACTCGGAGAGTGCTTTATGTGTAAGAACCACTTTACCTGGGTATAAAAGAACGAACGTATTAATAAAGTATTATTTTAAGTATGACATTAGATTCATGAAATACAAGCAATGACTAATACTGATTATTCAATACTTTATTTTTGTGTATGTAAACGTAGACTCACTGGCTCCAGCGTCCCTGACCTCATTGTCAGCTTGTCCAATCAGATGTGGCTACACCTGCAGTCAGACGATACAATCGGCTCAGCAGGCTTCAAGGCAGTATATGAAGGTATGCCTCACTGAAATACGCACACACTCGCACACACACGCACACACACGCACACACACACACACGTGCATGTAGAATGTAAGAAATGAGTAATGTGAGTTAATTACTTCATTTTGCGTTTGTATTTTTCATATTTACTATAAGCTGGTAATTATGGAGATAATGATGCAACAGTAAAAACCAAAAACAACATAAAATGTCTTAGCAAGGTGTTGGACCAGTATGTGCGACTAAAACAGCTTCACTATACGTTAGCATCCTTCTGTTGAAGGAAGGGAACATCATTCCTTCAAATGATATTTCATTCTTTCAATAAGGAGAGATCATTTGGAAGAATATGAACATGATTTACTGAGAAAGAGAAATTAATGTATTTGGCACTTAGACTTCAATGACCCATCTTGGCAGAACAAAATCCCACAGTCATAAGATTTAGGACAGGTATGTATATCCTGCATCATAAAATAAAGGTGATTAGTCAGAATAACTTTGTATTGATTTGCAATGACTGTTCACTTTGAGGCAAGCAGTGGTCTCAAACAGCATCAACAAATTGCCTCTCATAATATATCAATCCTAGATCCTCTCAGTGTAGATGTCAAGTCTTCAGGTCCTGTAAATTATTTTGTTTGTCAACAGCACATATTCATTGTTATTTTTGAACAAATAGTCATGACGCATCTTTTATTATATTGATATAATTGATTAAATACTGCATCCTACCATGTTAGTGACACTCATGAATTAAACTGTACTAAATTAACTTGAGCAAAATTAAATTAAGCCAGAGAATAAAACAGGCAAATAGAAAAGTAATTTCATAAATATAGGGATAGATGTCTAATGGCACCCCCGCCCCCCCAAAAAAATGCTTGTCAGGGCCGGATAAAAAGACTAAAAATGACAAATCATCTGAGACAAAATCAAGTCCCGGACAGACCAGAGGAGTTTGTGAGAGCCAGAAAGAGAAACAGGGACAAAGGTTATGCTCTTGTTTTGCTTTGCTGTGTTTGATTCAGTGAAGTTTTCCAGGGTCAATTACTTTTCAAAGGAATACGAACGGTCTACTGAACTATAGAAAATCTGTGCGTGTGTGCATGTGTAACTGTGATGAGAGACACTGAGCATTATGTTACTCTTTGGCTTAATATGAGACTGGCCTACCACTGACCACTGATTTTATATGTTTTGTATTTGTCCTAATGCCGGGGCTCATGACTCAAAACTCCTATTTGATCCACTTTATATAAATTACAAGGCTATGACATATGACAAAACTGAAAGGAAAGAAAAAAAACCCCCAAAACTAAAAAAAAAAAAAACTTTGCAGACTTGATGCAGTAGTTTCTGCTTTTTCCCCCCTCTGGCCAGCCGAACAAGTGCCTGTGGTGTATGTTGTGAGTGTGTCCTTGCTTTAATACTGTGATACTGTCAAAAAGGATAATGTCACCACGTAACAACCTTTGATCAGTGTTACCCCTTGAGCATGCTTACATTTTCAACCCTGAAGGAAAACTCAATGTGTGTCTTGTTTTTGGCATCACGTTGCACTTGTGAAATCTTGCCTGCTGTGTGTGCGTGTGTGTTCGCGATTACTAAAGAAAGACAGAGTTAGTGTCATAAACACGCAGCACATTATGATAATTGAGGCTTTCAGACAAATGTAACTGTCATCAGAAGTGCAACAATATAAATTGTGCAATCTTGAATGAATGTAATGAATGAAAAATCTGGACTGAATGCCTTTAAGATTGAACAATGTAAGAAGTATCAGCATATAATTTTTTATTTTTTAGGTAGTAGATCTGCATTTCAATTTGAAGTACTGAAATAAAACAAAAAAAACTTTTATACTTCACTTTTTGATATTTGACTGTTAATGATACAACAAATAATACATCAAGCAAGTTTATTTGAAACAAATTGTTGGCATTAAAATACAGTAAACACGATTCTGATCTTTATTTTATTCATTCAGATTTTTTATTTGCTTTTTAATTATGTACTTAGATTGCTTGTAAGAGGCACTGTGTGCAGTGTGTGGCTCTGAGCATAGGAAAAAAGAAGCGTAAAATATTTTTGTTCAGATGTAAATATATAATCTTCACTTCAGTAAAAGTCTAAAAAGTAACATTAGAAAGAAACAGCTCAGAAGAGAGAAGCATTTACAATGATAATGGCAGACTTACCGGGGGCTCAAGATTGCTGATATCCATCCTGACACTCATCAACTGCGTGACAGCTAGCTATGGGCCACCAACATGCCTCCTGCTTCTTTGAGTATTCTGTTCTTGTGGGTGCAGTTACATCCCAGAAGATAGCAAAAGTGTTGAACACATACACACATCTCACCTTGAGATGTGTTTGCCCAAAGCGAATCCAGCAGCATGGTGGAGCATGTGTTACAAGATGACAGACGTCTGGTAGAATGTCAAATTTTAAAGTAGGGGAGCGAGGGGAATGGGATGGATAAAAAACACACTCCCATTAAGAGAAGAAGGGATAAAAATGAGTCACAAATGAATAGAACAGGATTGCAGGCCAGGTCGACAGTACTGCTAATGTGACACCAATGCCAATAAAACACAGTGTATCAGACTTAGAGACCTGGAGCAATAAGAAGATGCATAATGGAAGAGAAGAACAGGAACTATTTAAAAGGAGTACTGCCAGAGACAGAAGAAAGGGTGTAAATAAGAGAACACAGGGCAGGCACAACATACTGTATGTGTCTTAAAATGTGCACAAGGGAAGTAGGGGAAGTCATATTTTATACCACGTCACAAACATTAGCATTGCTCTGTTCAATTTCCACCTCCTGCTGATTACTTAACAAGAGTGTGCATGAATCAGTGTGTGTGTTTTCATCTACCTGTGCGTCTCCACTTATTGTTTGGCTGTTCACAATTAGAGCTGAATTACACCACAATTACCTTGATGGTAATTAGCTTTGAGGTAGGAAACAAAATGAAGTTTTGCCCGTTGAATTTCAGGTTGCATTTCACTTCTTAACGCAACAGTGTAATATAACTGATGCTAGACATGTTCGCTTCGCTTTCTGCTCCATAAAGCAATAACATCACCCCCTTCTGACTGAAGCCTTTGCATTCAGACAGCTTGAAAAGAGCCCATTTGAATTTTCCTGACTCGTTCAAAAACAAACACAATAAACGAAACATTCCGGATATTCTTAAAGCCAAATCATAATTCTCCTTTTTGTCTGTTTTTCTGGGGGGTATATTTTGTATACATATTTCTTCCTGATTTTTGGCATAGCTTTGTTGTTTACCCTTTTGCATGTGTCATTATCAGTTCAAATGCATTTGTCTGTTTCTTGCCCCCATTTTTCAAGGAAGTTGACTTTAAATAAGCCCTTGTGAAATGGCAAATAAATGTTCTGTTTCTGTATTATTTTTATCCAAAGAATTTGATCCATTTGCTACAATTATATCTGGCAATCTAGAAGGACCTTAAGATTATTTGATTTAAGCTGATTCACTCTCCATACTTTTGGATGCAATTCAGTTTAATTCAACTTTATTTACGTTGTACCAAATCACAACAAGTTACCTCAGGGCACTTTATGTTGTAGGTTAAAGACCTTACAATAATACAGAGAAATCCTCAACGATCAGATGACAGTAGGCCTCCAACAGAACAAGGCTCAGGGAGGAGCAGCCATATGCTGCGAACAGCTGGGGGTGAAAAGAAAATATTGTACATGCTCAATTTTCCTAAAAAGGTAGCTTTTACAGCAACCTTGTAACGTGGAACATTTATTTAAATTATTTCAAGGCCATCTTGTAATCTGTTGCCGAGTTTGCATTGATTTAATACACATGCTATCTCAAAATCAGTGTATGCATGCCATTGCCATTTAACTCGTCCTCGCAAATACAGGCCAAACAACGGCTTATCTAAAAACTAACATGTGCATGACGTTGATTATCGAAATAAAATGTGACTTTCTGCATTTGTGTATTACAGAGATCGAACGAGGGGGCTGCGGCGATCCTGGGGTGCCTGCATTCGGTCGCCGTAGCGGTGACCGCTTTCAACATGGTGACGTGTTGACCTTCTTTTGTCAGGCAGCCTTTGAACTTGTGGGAGAAAGAACCATCACATGCCAGCACAATAATCAGTGGTCTGGCAATAAACCCAGTTGTGTCTGTAAGTCTACCATTTCTGTGTCTGTGCTAGTTGTTCTTTCTGTTTGTTTTCATATTAAATTTTTTATTATCGTTGTTTTTTCTTGCTTGCTTTTGTACTTTGTCTGTCAGCGTCTGCCTTTCTGTTTTCACTCTCAGCCAGCTACCTGAAAAAGTAACATGCTGTTTTCTTTCTTTCTTTCTTTCTTTCTTTCTTTCTTTCTTTCTTTCTTTCTTTCTTTCTAGTCTCATGTTTTTTCAACTTCACGGCCCCATCAGGGACTGTATTGTCCCCAAACTACCCAGAGGAATATGGAAACAACCTGAATTGTGTGTGGTTGATCATTTCTGAACCGGGAAGCCGCATTCATCTCCTCTTCTCTGACTTTGACCTGGAGCCACAGTTCGACTGGTTGGTGGTCAAAGATGAAGGTAACTGCATGTTTATATTTTGCTCTGTTCTTTTGTGGTGGGGTTTTAAGAGGTAAACCTCAGTATACAGTACTTAACAAATTTATTAGGCTGCCACCCAGAGTAAAGTTTATGCTACAGCTGCTCTAAATTAACAGTATTTGTAATCACCTAAATTGTTTTTTAATGTTTCTGTAATGGTTAATCCACCAGTATGTGCAAGCTCTTTAATTGAAATGACATTTTAATGCTAAAAATAATTATTGTTTTTAACCATGAAGTAAAAAAAATAAAAACAGTTATTTTTAATGTTTTTAGTGCAGTTCTACAATCTTTTTTTTTCATGACAGGTGATCTAATACATTTGTTAATAATTGTGCATATGTATTTATCTTATGGCATAAATGTTGGTCTGTGTGACCAATTGAAATAGGTGAAAAAGACATATGTGGTGGTGGGGTGGAGCGGGGAGGTTGGGAGTGTTTCTGAAATTCGCAGCTATTAAATCCTGTATCAGCTGGTAAAGAGAATTGCTGAGTGGATCTCATTGATGGGTTGATGAATGATGGGCACACTGGATGTGTAGTTGTAATGTAATATTTATCATTTCAACACTTGCATAGCTTTCCACTTCACATAAAACACAGAGCAATTAGATTGCTGTTCCCCATTGTAATAAAGGTTATTGATTTAAACTGAATCAAGTCAAGCCCATGTTTGACTGGGTGATCATTAAAGATGAACTTGTGTATAATTGACTAGCACTATTCTTTTTTTTTTTGTCTCTGTAGAACCTTTTTTAAATTACAGGGCAATTATCGCTGTTACAATGGGCTAACTGAAATCAGTTCAGTTATTGCTTTGAAGTCTTCCAGTTTGCTCTGACTGGTGATAAATCTCTGTCACAAGGAAACCACAGTGTATCTGTGCCTCCAGGAACAGAGAGCAAAAAAAAAAAACCTCTCAATGATCTGCTGTACTTGAGTTTTTATTATATGAAAATCCATCTAAAGTCAGTCACTTCCCTTCAGTTTGGTACCAATAAATATCAAATTAATATTACTAATATACTTCAATTTATAACAAACTACTATGAAGATGTAGTTTGTTTGTAAACTGCCTGTAAAGATGGATCAGCCATTAAAATGCTAGAAATGTTCATATTGGTTCTCAAAAAAAGGGAGAAAAAGGAACGTGGAATATATATATATATATAAAAAACATTTAAATAAATTCCCATAATGATACAGATAAAGCATTATTCTGATGCTGATGCACGATTCCTGTACTCTTTTTGGAATCCTTCATGAAATTGCTTAAAAAATATATATTTTCATCTTCTTTTTTGGATTTGCATAAATTTGTTTAAAAAGTAATCTTTCATCTAAATTCAACCATGTAAATCTCTAAACATTTATTATGACATATTTATTCAAGGTTTAGGAACTTTAAATTCAAATTTCATAACAATTTACAAAAGTCAGAATTAGGTCACAGTTCAATGTTGTCTGTCCTGTAATGCAGAATAAAACATATCTTTTGGACATGTGCGCTGGTTTTCTGCAGTGGTGCCTGTTGCTCTCTCCTTATGAGCCTTTTTTCTATCTACTGCTGCCAGCCTGTGAAAGTTGAGGATGGCACACAGAGAACTGTCATTATTGTGTTTTGTGTGACAGCCTTCTGCTTTAAAAGGGCAATTCCAGCACTAAAAGTTTTAATGCCAGCGGTGGCTTCAAAATATGTCCTTACATTCTTCTTCTTTATATAGACAGTAAGCTGAAGGAAAATTCCAGAAATCAAGGGTGACATAACATGAGTGAATATTGCTGACGTAAGCTATAGCGCAGGCTCTAATGCAGGGCTGTGCAATGCAAGCACGTTTATTTTCAGGCACAAATCTTACATCACCGAAAAACTTACTGAAAGTCCAAAATTTCCAATAAAAAAACTTCTGCTGAGTATCCAAAAATCCTCATAGTATATCCCAACTAACCACATTTTCCAAATTAACTGTACTTCAGCGCTGAAGTGAGAAATAAATGGATGGCTTAAAGCTCATTCTGTATGCCTGTAGTTTTTCCATACCAACAAACTGAGGTAGAGAAACGTGGTGGTTTGCATGCTACCTGATTCTCCCTGGAGTATTCACCATTACTGCACCCAATAATTGTTTTTCATAAGGTTAGCTACTAATTGAACATCCACTTTTCACAGATTATGCTTATTAATCGGTTATCGGTTCTTGGGCTGATGAACACAAACAAATATTTACAAAGATTTATTGATGCCAATTCATTGCCGATGATTGATTGGCAGTGTCTAATTATATGTCCTCATGTCACATAATCAAATGTCTAAAATATCATTGAATTATGCAGCAGAGGCAATCACTCAAACTCTGCTTTTATGCCTTTATAGAAAAGAAATCAGATTTCTATTCACTGAAGGTTTTATATCAACTTGACACTTATGAACTTGCCTTCTTTTGTATTTCTGAATAAAAGAACATGAAATCACAAATGGCAAACAAAAGTGAACAAAGGAACCTCCGTAATAACCCATAAATCCTCTGAGTGGGGCAACAGCAGCATGAAATCCATGCAAAAAAAAAAGATGACACTTTGGGCTACTTTTTGAATGGCATGTAAAAGGTTAACTTAATCAGAAAGCCATTATTGTCATCTAATATAAGAGAAGATAGTGACAGACTATTACAAAGGCTTTTCTCTAAATCTCCACTTAGATAAGATAACGTAGGATCTTGGCACTCTTTTAGCTATTGTTACGTTGATTCTATTTCCTTCCTGGTCTCTTGCCTATCAATGTAATAATGAATAAGTGAAAGGGCTTTTGAGTTGCTAGAGACTAACGAGGCTGGCACTTTACAACTCAGTTACTGTGTAGCTTAATTGTGTCTAAGTGCATTGGATCCTAAAATTCAAGTCAAGAAGGAAATAAAAAGAAAAGTTTCTATGGGAGTGTTGTGAAGAACAGCATCTTTATCAGTGAAGTGGTCTTGAAACTCCCTTTCTGTGCCTTGAAGTGATGTCAGCTTACATTGATTTCCATTGCCATCTCTGTTACCTTTAAAAATTCATATGAATTTCATAAAGTCAATAGTAAGAAACTGTCAGTTTTCAGGCTTTTAGCGATCGTCAATACATTTCATCTCATTCCAGTGTATCTGTTTATATCTGCACTTTTAAAATAGCCAACTAAAAAAAAAAACCTACACATATGCATTGTAATAGCTTTTTCACCTCAAAACCTGTAATCAAAGCATCAGCTGGTTCACTGGAATGTCAGAAGATTAATACACTTATTGACCAGAAAAGCAATTACAGCAGCACTTCTCACCTCCGCAGAAGAAATTGCTGCAGAAGAAGAAAGTGACCAAAACAGCAACTTTAGACAAACATTACCTCCATATTTAAATGAAGTTAAAAATTGAGTAACATATGTATTAAAAGTTTATGTACAAGCAAAAGGCAAAAAAAAGAAGGTTGCAGAAAAGTCAAAATAATGATAATGATATTCAGCATCCATACCAGCGTGCATATACTATATGTAGTGTTCCTTTATAAATCACCTTAAAAATGTTCCTATATTCCACCCAGGCTTGTCCAACAGATCAATAAAAAATCCCTCATGAAGACTGCTGCAGATACAGGACAGTGACACTGAGAGAGTGTTGGCTGCTGCTGATGCTGTAGTTACACTAAACAGGAAATTCTTGCAATTTGAAGTGGTGAAACATGGAGGTGTGCTGTGCTACACCATACGAGTGTCAAGATCCTGATTGAGGCATGCAGACCATCGCTTCCTGTTTGGTATTATGTAAGCGTCTAGACACAGAAATAGCTGAAAAAACAAAACACATCCTCAGTATCTGCAAAATCATTGTTTAACTCTACAAATTCACCAAGGGTGGGGTTTTTTCATAGATGATTGTGAAAGCTGATGGAAAGATGTACGGTGAGAAGGCAGAGTGTTTGGCAACCTGGTATTGCCATCGTGCAAATAATATCCAAATAATATCATCAGAATCTAATATAATCTAAGAAAATGAAATTCATAATTGGTGAGATTTAAATAGTATTTCCATTTTCAGTGCTCTCTTTGCCACGTATATAAAATAAATAATTCTGGATATTTGTAAAAATATATATATGTCATTTCATCACTTTCAGTTGAGAAATAAATTACAAGGTGATTTTCTGATATGCCCTGCCAGACTTTCAGGAATCTGCCACCTGATGCAATCTGGCATCATCCTCAGTATTTAAGCCAAACCTTGTGCTCCACAACTGACCAGGACTACTGTGGGGATCACGCAATCTGACTCTTTCATCTGAGTTCTGCAGATGTGCTAATGCAATGTGTTCGGTTGTGTAATAATAATAAAAAATGGATCATAGTTTTAAATGGTTACAAATGGAGTTGACGTGTACATTACACTATAGAGATGTTCTTATGAAATTATTATTGTGCTACAAGCAAAAGCACATGATCACGCTGCTGGCCTAAAATAAGTCACATTGCAGATTTATGCGATATATGTTGTTTAATATTTATTGAAATTCTCCACGTGATAAGGGATCATTGTAAAATTTCAACATTTGTGTTTAAATCCCTCCAGTCTCAGCAAAGTTTCCAATGTATGGCTCAGAGGTTCTGTACTAATATATATATAGCCAGAGGTGGGAAGTATAAATACTTTGTTACGGTACTTAAGCAGAATGTTTTAGGTATCTGTAATTTACTTAAGTAGTTTTGACGTGTGCAAAAGTCGGGGGGGAGGTGTATTTTTTTCCACAATACCCGGAAACAGGTATCCTTAAGTTGTGGTTGCAGTGCTTCAGCATCTATCTACCCTGCTGAAGAGGAGCCCTTTTTTTTAAAGGGCAGGTCATTTCAAATTATTGTGAGTTCAACAAAGATCAGTGTGTTTGCAGATGTTTGTTGAGCTGTCGCCGTTGCATTTGAAATTTGTCAATTGCAGAGAGGTTTGTCGTACAGTGTGTTGCTAGCTAAAGGTCCAGCTGCTGTATATCCCAGAGAGAGAAAAGATAGAGGGCTAACGTCACTCAGAGATAGAGAAAGATAAGAAACACAGGGGAGGAGAGGAAGAAGAGAGGTCAGATTTATAGGTAAGGACTGCTCAGTGGTCTTTGAATATGTGACATCATGCTTTTTTCATATTGTGAAACATGCTGTAAATCAAACTGAGTGGACTAACTGTGTAATTTAAAGGCTGCATAAAAAATACAGGTTACTGCAGAATAAACAGGTTAGTTGGCTGTACTGTGGTGGATTTAAAGTAAAGAACTGTGTGTGACTGGTGCACAGTATCTGTGGTTTCATGCTCAGAGTTGGGTTACATCAAGTGTAGCAGAGTAGATTTTAGATGATGATGCTTAGATTCATTGACTGAAATCCACCTTCATACCAATTTTATACCATTTAGAAAAAAAAAGACAGCCAGTCAGTGTAGAGGATAGAAATCAGCCAAGACAACTCATGAAACATCTGCTGACATCTAGTTGAATTCAGTTGTGTATGTCCACAAAGAGCAGGAGGTCAGCTGACCACAGTCGGTACACTAAGAAAATCTGTTGGAGCTCTTAATAGAAATCATTGTGAGTTATGATTCTTTTGTCCACACTGAGCATTATCTGCAGCTGCTGAATCCCACTTAAACCATTGACTATACACATTTTCCTGTTTCCTCTGAAGAGCTACTTTTACTTTCTTACTTTGAATACATTTCAGAGCCTGTACTTTTTTCTTTTACTTACTTGTACTCAGTACAACTTTTACTGGAGTATTTTTAACAGTAGTGTTTGTACCGAATACTGTATAAAAAGTATTAAGTGCAGAATGTCTTTACTTTTTCCATCTCTGTATAAAGCCCCTTTATTTTTTTCTTTGTAGATCCATACATTCCCATACTTTTCTTTAAAGGCCTGTTTGTACCACTGTGGTTGTATATCTGGTTCAAAACATAAGACATTGAGCCACATGAACAAGGGAAATTTATAGCTGTCCATGACCACAATAATTACCACCTGTGTATTTCTCTTACCCATGCACCAGAGACTGCAGATGTTTCCTGTGACTTGTTATATTCTTTCATTACCATTTTGGGATCCTTTTTTATAGAGTATATGTACATATCCCAGTGATCTCAACCTGGAAAGTTGCTTTTCTATGTGCTGTAGTCCAGTTTTTATGACACTCCCCCCTGATTCTGTCGTTGCTGCTTGGGTCACTGGGGAGCGCACTGAAGAGTAGAATATCTTCTTCCAAACAAAAGTTTATAACTACTTTTTGCAGTAAATGGTCTGATGCTGTGACACAAATGTCTTAGACAGACCTGAGGTGATGTATGATTACAGCAGTACAGGCGAAGGGGTGGAAGTTTCAGACTATTCAACTCATATAGAGTGCATCCTTTTATGACTGTCTAGTGATACCTCAGTGTTGGAGCACACTGAAACATACCAGCTAAGTTATGCTATTCATTGCAATGATGTACCCTGAGGGGATGATGAGTACTTGGAACAAGATAATGCTCCTTCCCATGGTGATGGAATTGTCCGGAAATACATGGTTCAATACTCATTGAGGTACAATACCATCAATGACCCAGACACCACAGTCACCTGATATTAGTCTCTTGGGCATTCACTCAAATGCAGCATCTGTACAAAAGAGCTTCTATGTATCATCTTTTGGCAAGCATGACACACTAATGTGTGTCTGGTTTCCTTTTATACTCGGACCTTCAGGTTTCTTGCTTGTTATTTGGACCAATGCGATAGTGCACAGGTGTTGCTTTCATGCTATGAGTGTTCAAAATTGGAAATTGGAAATAATCTTCGAGATAGGTGTCCTCGGGATAATGCCATTTTTGTTCAGTTAACAAGTTAAAGGGTCATGAATGAATGCCTTTCTTGTCTCTCTGTACTAGGCATGTTTACATCTAGTACTATTTAGTAGTAACTGTTACTATACAGTGCATTCAGTATAAGATAAGATAAGATAAGATAAGATAACCTTTATTAGTCCCACACGTGGGAAATTTGTTTTGTCACAGCAGGAAGTGGACAGTGCAAAAGTTATGACGCAAAAATTAGAATACAATAAGAATAAATACAGTACACAGCTGTACAGAATAGAATAAAATAAAATACTATATACAGTAGAATAAAATAGAATAAAAATATACAATGAGATAAAAATAGAATACGAATGCTATATACAACTGAGTAAAAATATAACGATGCCAGAAAAGATTATTGCACTTAGTGTTATTGCACATGTGTGGATGTGTGTGTTTGTTCAGTTAAAGGAAGACTGTCTACTTTTACTGGAGATTTCTTCCTATTTTTTTTTATGTTGTTGTTGTTGTTGTTTTAAATTCTAAGCATGCAGAGAAGCAAGTTATCCTTCAGCAGCCTATAGTTAACATTGACATTTTAACAGACTTTTCTTGTTGTTCTCATTAAAACTCACAACAGTTGTTAGGCTTTACCAGGACCAGCTTAATCATTTACATTCATTTAGATTGTCAGTTATTTGAATGTCAATAATTTGTTACTCCATGAATACATTTCATACTTTGGCACTTCTACTTCTAATGCTTAAATAAAGCATTATGTGCTTATCATGCATATTAGTAAGCATTTAGCAAGTGTGTCAGGAACTGCTAAATCATCTCAGTGTTTTGTTTTCTCTTAACCCTAATTACACCTAATTCACCTCTTTGAGCTGCCTTGGGATGAGCCTTTCTCTTTCCAAGTCTGGCCTGATTTTATACAGGATAAATTAGATAAGCAATATTAAATGTCTCTCTAAAATAATGTTTAAATTGTGCTTGATTTTAGGTCTGTCTGAGCCAACAACATTTGGGACATTCTCAGGAAAAGATGTTCCATCACAGATCGCCTCAAACGGTCACATCATGAGACTGGAATTTCAGTCTGATCATTCAAATACTGGGAAGGGCTTCAATATCAGCTATACCAGTAAGTATCAACTACCTACTTATCGCTCAGTCCATTTGTTGTTTAGGCCGTAATAAACACCCTTAGTTTACTAAGTCACTGGGGGAAAATGTGCAATCTCAACCAGTTGGTGAGCGGTTACTGGAGGTTGCAAACAAAGAGACTAGTCAGTAGCCCACTGGCACTAGGAAAAATCTGTGCTTCTACAGTGGTCCCTGGAGACTGACACTAGGTGAAATCGGTTGCAAAGTGGTATGAATTGTGCACTGAAAACCTTCTTGGTTTCCTGCAGATTACTGTGATTGCTTGTAGTTTGCATGGAAGATGCAGATTTGTCTGCAAAAACTCAGAAACTCTTGTGAAAAGCATGATGAAAACCAGAAATGGATTTGCATTGAAGTAAAGATGCACCATTTGAAACGTGTTGGTGGATGTCCTCTATTTCGGCTCTCTGCTGCAATTTTTTCCCATTTTTCAGCTACTCCGTGAGTAGTTATTGAGTATTAGCAGAAAGATCTGTGTCTTCTGTGCATACTGCAGTGACTATGATAGTCTACTAGTCACAAAGAGGATTTGGGGTAGCAGCCTCTTTGCAACCAACCAAATATCCATTGAGATCTCTACCAGCGTACTACCTCATTGTTGTATTTGAATTTGGTTTTAATTTTTTTTAAGTAACTGTCATTTTTTCCCCAGCAGTTCTTCTGACAAATGACAGCATGTCGTTTTGACACTTTGACAAATTTTTATTAAGAATACTTCCAGGGCCACTTCAGTGGAGTTTTGATAGCAGAAATTTGTTAAACAATACGGACATTCCAACAGTAAAACTGAGATGCAACACTTCTACCACCATGTAATCAGAGACAAAAGCAGAAATCAGTTGTCAACATACTGCTATACATTATGTTCTAGGGTAGATCCTAGCGAGTGTCCCTTTTTTTTAAACAAATGATTTACTGATTATCAAGCTGAGTATTGCTATGTAACTCAATGCACATCTTTAAAACATATAAGCTAAATTTACAACTAAATTCTGAGGATTTGCTTCCGGAGCTTGTTGTATAGCTAGTATCTTCATATACTAGTTAAGATCCATATTAAATATAGCTCAGAGTAAAATACCTTTTCATATGCTAACCACCTCAGAATGGCACTTCGTTATGATTAATATAATACCGACATCAGCATTACTGCACCTGACGTTACCTTAACCTGTCCTGTTTGACTTCTTCTGCTTGACTGATCCTATATGGTAAATGGCCTGTATTTGTACAGCGCTTTACTAGTCCCTAAGGACTCCAAAGCGCTTTACACATCCAGTCATCCACCCATTCACACACACATTCACACACTGGTGATGGCAAGCTACATATGCATATCTTACTCAACTTTCACCCAGTTAAGCCTGTCCCATTGTCAGAGTTTGAACCCAGCTACTCCATCCTGTATATTTATCCACTCTAAGCTGAACTAGTTCTGCCTGAGTGATTCAGATTCATTCAGTGTGATTACCATGCAGTTTTGCACCATTTCACACACTGCCTCCCAAATGACCTTGTCTTTGGCTCTTCCTTTAGAGGTGGCA